TTTCTGCTGAATACTTAATTTGCACTATTTTGAGTCTGATGTGTTTCCTAACCCTTGGACAAATATTCTCAGTTTAAGCTCCTTACCTCTTTTTTAGGACGATCTGAAACAAGGCTGTCTTCACCAACTGGGTAAGTGTGAATTAAGACCAACTCGCATTTCTGAATCTGCATTAGACTGAAAAATAGAAACATTCCATTTAGCCTACACTGTGGCAGAGTATCTCCCAGAAATTAGACCAATTCTCCCAATATTAATCTGATTCCTAGAACACAGAATCATAAAGATGTATTACAACATACTGGTTTTGAAAGCATTCTGTAGAAACGAGGTTACATTAATGATTTTCAAAAGTACATTGTTCAGAATAAATATTTATCATATTAAAAAAAAGTATAACATTTCTAGCTCTTCAGGTGCTACAGCACTGTGATTCTTTTTGGACATATCAACGGAATAGATCCTTAACCAGTGTAATCCGTTCAGCTTCATTCAACTGAAAACCTTTACTACACAGGATTTGTGTCTGCAAGCGTGTGCACAGGTATTAGTAAGGGGATTCCAGCAAACATGAAAACAACTACCACAATAACATACTCATCTCCTAATGCAGCTGGAAATTCAGAGACAAGAAGACACTGATCCACATCTCTATCTACAGGAATGAGACTACTTCTCTGTCTTTACAGTGGACTTGGAACCTGATTCCATGGGGCAGCACTATATAAACATGAAACAGAATTGCAGCAGGTAACTATAAGAGACTCTTGCTTCTGCTATTTAAATGCAACCTATTTAAGGTTAGTGCATCTAGTATAAGTAAGTATAGTGCAACCATTTAAGAAGCAACTAAGAACAGGATCTGAATCTACTATACACTTCACAAGGCAATGCACAGTCCCTGGGCTAAACAGTTCACTGCTTAATTAGACAAAACATATGGTGGAAAAGTGACTTCTCAGAGGACTTAAAAACTGTATTTCAAGACACTCCTTTAACTCAAAGGAAGTGTAAGGCAACACAATAACTTAGAAATTAAAAACTAGTTTCAAAGAAGTTATTCTAGTCAAAGAAAGATGAATGTAAAGATGGATGCAGTTTTATCAAGAAAAAAATGCAGATGCATTGCTGACTGCAAATACACAGTATACAACAAGTCACAGTTATTGTGTCTCATTTGGAGAAAGCGACAAAAATACACCCATATTTCGTAGAGGATGTAACAGGCACATACAGAGTAAGAGAAACTATGTTGGGAAAACGTTTACTCACTGATCTGAATTAGCTGCAAGCTTGTTATGCTCATGAATGGTTTCCTGAACGCAATCCTCAAGCATCCGAACATGACTGTCACTAGAAATAAATTTGATATATTACATTATATATATTTTATAGATTAATATATCCTTTAATATATTAATATAGTTTTTAATGCAGGATAATCAATCCTCTTGTTCAAAGCAGCATGCCACTAAAAGCTCTCCTATTTCAAGTGTAAAATTCTTGGTTGGTTACTGTAGCAGACCACCATAAATGAAATCTTTAATAAAGTAAGATATTATCTACGAAGGACACAAAAAAGCTAGCTACTTAGGGCACTAATTCATGACAATCAATGAAATCAATGGTAGAAGCATGTTATCAGACATACCTTTTTGCATTAGTAATACAGATTATTCTTCCTCTGTTTCCAACCCGTTCTGCATTCTCCATGAGCGTGGTTCGAGCCTCATGCTGGTACTCTGTTATTTTGCAAAGTGCTTCTACTGCTGCAACCAGGCCGTGAAGTATGCTGCAGCATTCTGGATCTGCCCGAGGATTAGGTGGCCCAACAGCTGCTAATGCTGCCATCAACTAGTTAAAAAGAAAGAATTAAATTATTACTGAAAACTACTTTCCAGCCATTTGCCAAAATGATCAGTTAAATGAAAACTAATCATTATAACTCATTTTACATGCAAATTAATGTTGTTGGGAGAAAACCAAACAGCAATTAAAGACCACGTCCCCATTCTTCTGGAAAACATTTGGCCCTAAATTATCCTTTACGATTCATTTATTAATCGTTACTAAGCCCTGAGAATATAATATGCTTATTTATTCCAAAAAAATACCTGACTACAATAGCAAGTTATATCAAATACCTGAAAAATTCTAGCATTATCAGTTGCCACCTGCTTTTATTTTCTGAGAATTTGGAAATGCAGTTCCTCCCCAAAATAAATTTTTCAGAAGGCAAGCCCATTCAGTATGAAACAAAATGAGAGCAAAGAAAGTATTTACAATTTTTAAACACAATTTGCCTATCACTCAAATGTACAAAAAAACCTCAATTTTAAAATTCAAGAAGTATCACCAATCACAGAAGAAATAGATATTTCTTCATAACATTAATTTTAATATATAACTCTATACTGAAAGCTACTAGATTATTTTAGATTATGTAAAGGTGCCTATAGAATAGTTCAGCTTCCCAGGCTACTTAAAATTCTGTTACATAGTAATTTCAGACCAGATCCACCAACATTTTAATTAACCAAAGTTATTTAATATTGAACACCGTAGACTTACAAAACAAGTTAGAAATCTTACCTCCTGCAAGTTCTGATCTTCTTGAGTCCAAGAATTCAAGACATGAGCCCCAGAGTCACTCACAATGAAATTCACCTAAAAGAATTGAAATAAAGGTAACAGCCGTTATGGCTACTTCCCCAAATCCAAACACAAATTACTCCTTTCTCCTGATACTCTGGAGATATGTGCAATGACAAGCCAAACTAGAAATAAGACAACAAAAGAACAAACATCCACTTCTGCTATATTCAGTTAACCTTTCAGCAACATTATGATTAATGACTCCTTACTCTACCTATTTATATTTATATCATGAAGTATTTTAGGATAGGATATTATGAAGTATTTTAACAATCAGGTAATATTTTCAGTAGAATAGCTATAAAATAAATTCTAATACTGCAATATTGCAACTCATTCTCCGAATGCTGTAACAGTAGCTCACAAGGGTAAATACCTAGCAAGTTTTAATAAACATTGTTCTAAAGATGACGAAAAAGCCAAGAGGAAGCGCAACTTTCCTCTCAATTTCAGTTTCTCATACCACACAAGCTCCAGTTCAGCCAACCAAGTCAAGGCCATTAAGCATACACTTGATACAATCCCATAATGGGACCTGACTGTATATTAATTGCTCTAATCCATAGTTTAAATTAAACATTCATTGACCGCAAATCATGACATGCAACCCATCAAGGCAGCACAACTGACACATCAAACCACTGAACTACCGGGGTTTTCTTAGCACCCAGCCTCTGCTGCAGCTGCTCCCTGATGGTATTCATCATCTCTACTTTGTACCAGTATCACTGTCACCAGGTTGTTTAACTTGTATGGTTTTAAGTGTAACTAACCTTTAAGACATTGCACAACAGTTTAATCAATGAGAAGAGATCTTAAAAAAAACAGGGAGTAGTTACTGTAATTTATGATACAGTGCTACAGAACCCACCAGGCACTTATTTTTCTAAACAAGGAGCCACGTGCCAGGAAGGTATCCACTTTTTTGAACTGGTTGCTTCATGGAGATCCTACCTCTTCCTAAAGCCCAGAATTCCTTCAAAGTTGTTATCAAAAACCTTAAGACATGCTACCATGTGTGTTTACAAACAAAATTCAATTTGAAGCAATACCTCACTTAAGCCTGTGTGAGCTTACAGCTCAGAACACAATAATAAATCTGTAAATTACCTCAAAGCACCTCTCCTCATGTTTTGCGCTGTTACAAACTGATACTAAGACAATGAAAGGTTCCAAAAATAAATGTAATGGGATTCATATACTACTCATATCAAGTTAAATTGCTATAAAGTGTATCAACAGTACAAAGAAATTTTAATGTAATAAATTAAATTTGATCTTTCAACCTAACCAACAGCTAATGATACGAAAAAGACTTCATTAAAATGCAAAAATAGCCCTTATACTATTAAGTATCATATGTAGTATGGCTAGAAGAACTTACCAGTTTCTTGAAAGGAAAAATGTCATACATTATTCTACAGTACTCCATGGATGATTCCACCGAACAGGTCCATAATGATTTTGATATGGGTGCTAGAGGTATAATCCCTTGGGTCCGATTCTTTACTAACATATCGAATTCAACATGTTGTCTGCAGGATTCTGCCATATATGGGCAGTGATCCACAACAAAAACAGTTTTATGAGACTCAGAAAAGATTTTCATTTTCTTCCTAAAAAAAAAACAGATATTAAAATCAGAAAGAAATTGTAAAAGGGAAAAAAAAAATCACATCGCGAGATTACTGTGCAATTTATATAATACAAAACTATCTTACTAGCATATGCAGGTTTTCAAGAGGTTACCTCTTACAGTATTTAGATTACATATTGCACACAATAGCTCCTACAGAACTGTTAAGCTTTTGAAAAAAACCTACAAAAATTCCCCATTTTAAGAATCTATTTACATGGAGACAAATATCCTCTAGAATTGTTATTAGTCCATACATTTAGTATACTAGATGCTAATCAGAAGAAACTATTTTTTCTTAGGAGCAAAAAAAATACAGATAACTTGAATGTATACTGTTGAAAAGGCAACAATGATACAGAGTATTACCCTCCTCACTTTTCTGATTAAAAGAAACACTAAAGTATAGAAACTGCTTTCTATTTAAACCTTCCTTCCTAAAAAAAACCCTCATTTATGATTAGGCTATACAGACCTGGAAGTAACACAAACATCAGATTTTTAAGTAGATTTTCAGCCTTCAATTTGGTAGATACATCTTTCTATTTTTAAATGAATACCTGCATCTCTACTTTGATCTCTGACAGACATACCAAATCCGAAATAATAACATAAGAGTTCCTTATCTAGCAAGACTCATAGGACGACCCCTTGTATTCTTCCAAACTCTGAAGCCTTAGGGCCCTGCAATGAAATTTGATGCATTTTCCTGTTTCATTACAATAGGCTGGGCTTCCCTCTCCTACAGCATCACTAAAGGAAATATTTTTGAAGCAACTTTAATGTTAGATCCTCGTGTTAGGGTGGACATCATAACTTGAAGGACCAACCTATATATGAAAATTAACCTTAGGGCAGTGCTACTTAAATCAAACACACCTCTCATATCAAACTTACTCAACTTCTGGATGTTTCCATAACGCTTATAGGATTGAAAAAACAAAATCAAACTACTTCATCCACGCAAATTCCAGAGTACACAAAACCAAAAAAAGATACGAACTCACTTTAAAGACTACAACATTAAAACAACGGGGATGCACACAAACCAGAGTGAGGGCGGCACATCGCTCTAGTGGGGCAGGTTCCGCATCCGTCCTCAACAGCAGCAGCTGCCGGGGCACACCACGGCCCTTTCAGCAGAGGTCAAGGCCGGCTGCAGCGCCCCGACCCAAGAACTCGCACCCTCCCTTCGGTCTGGCAAAAAGCCTGAGGGGCCGGGGAAGCCAAGCTGGCTCCTCGAGGGCGGGCAGAAGGGACACACGGCCGCAGAGGACCAGCGAGGTCCATCGCCGTCCGCCCAGAGGCCGAGGAGAGAGAAGGGCAAGCGACTCCTAC